CGGCCACGGCACCCCCGCCCTCCACACTGCGCTCCAGCACACGGCACCGCGACCGACGGCGTCCACACTGCGCTCCAGCACACGGCACTACGACCGACGGCGTCCACACTGCGCTGCAGCACACGGCACTGCGACCGACCGTGTCACCACAGCCTGCACGCAGACCTGGAGAAGGGCCAAGGGCCCAGGTCAGGGGTGGTGCTCGCTCTGCCCCGACCTGCTGGTGTGAAGGCCAGCCCCTCAGGGTGCCTGACCTAACAGTCTCTCGACCTGTGGCGAACTCTGCTGCCTCAGCCAAGGCCTGTGGGTGGCACCCTCCCAGCCCCGACATCCTGCTGACTCGGGCTCCTCGAGCCTCTCTCTGGCCTGCCTCTCTGCAGCCAGACAACACACGCCAGCTGTCTGTCTGGGCAGAGCCCACGGATGCCAGACGAGCAGAAATGGCTGTGGGCCCAGCTCCATCCACCTCCAGTCCTGGCCCTGCTGGGGCTGGGCCTGCCTGTCTGTGTGCCGGATGGTGCTGCGGAGGAAGTGCTGGGGTCCTGCTGGGCTCGAGACACCCTTGGGAACAGGGAGTGGAGGACTCCTTACACCAGCCCTGCAGCTCCCTGGCATTCAGTCTGTGCTTGGCCCAGAGGGCCTATGGGCTCCGGAAGCCAGCGGGCTGCAGGGGCGAGGGGCTGCAGAGCTCTCCAGACAGACGCCTGCTGAATTCGCCCAACCCCTCTCTCCCACCTAGCAGGGTTCCAAGGCTCCCTCAAAGCCAATTCTCAGGGCCAGCAGATGGCTTAACGGTTATGTCGCTGGACTCCACATGGCTGACTGTGGTTTGTGCTTAAAGCCCACTTGGGCACCGGTGCATACCCAAGATCCTGGGAGGAGAATGGAGGATTGTGGCTTGTCCATCCCCCTGGGAGGTGATTTCTTGGTTTCTCTGGCGACCGCACATGCCCAGTAGCAAAAAAATCTCTTAAAAAAAAAAAGCCCGATTCTCCAGCTGCCTAGAGCTTACCATTCCCCCAACCCTCACGTCCTCAGGGCCACAGCCCCCGTGGCAGGTGGAGGGGCGCTCTGAGACTCGCTGACCTGCACGCCTGGCCCTGGCCACTATCTCTGGAGGCAGGAGGAGACCTAGGTAGGAGTCCTGCAGGCCCACTGCCTTCGGGCGCACTCACCACTTGCGCTTCATGTAGGCAGCAGCTCGGTTGCCATAGAGCATGGCGTTGTGGGGTGCCCTCTGCACGGCCTGGCTGTACAGCTGGATGGCCTGCGTCCACTGCTGGCAGGCGAAGGCCTCGTTGGCCTGCTGCTTCACACGCTCCAGGTATGGGGGCAGCTCGGCTTGGGGGCTGGGGTCAGCTCGGCTTGGGGGCTGCAGGGAGCAGATCGCATTCAGCTGAGCCACAGGACGGGCAGCTGATGCGGCTCTGCACCCTGGGGCTGCATTCTGTCTAGAAGAGGTCACTGCTCCTCCTCTGGGGCAGTGTCACCTGCTGCTGCAACAGGGAACCTGCCGGTGCCAAAGACTGGGCCACAGGAGGGCAGGGCGGCCTGTGCAGGACCGAGGAGAACCCCCTAGCTTCTGGGCGTGCCAGCGGCTGATGCCAACCCCTTCATGTGGAGCTGACCCTTGGGGCCACCCAGACAGCAGCTAGGATCTCACCACAGGGGTTCTGTTTCTCTCCCTCAGGGTTCGAAGACTAGGGCACCACCACAGCCCTGGCAGGAATGGGGTCTGGCATCCCCCAGGACGAGGGTGGGCGTGATGGGGCTCACCTGCATGGAGCCCTGCTGTGGGCCAAGGGGCGGCCAGCCTCTGGGTTCTGACTCCAACTACTGGCCCCAGGGACTGGGCTTGAGTCTGAGCACAACTGGTACCCTAGCAGGCAGGAGCAGCCACCTTCCGAGATGTTCCCTCCCTCTGGTCCTTAAGGTGTAACTGGGACCTGGAGGCTGGACCCACTGGCTGGCCTCA